CTCGGATCAACCTACTTTAATCATGGAAATGAATGTCTAGAGCAGGAGCATCGTTCCCATGCAGTGGATCTTGCAACAATGATGATTGGATAAAAGTGGCCGTTAGCTAGCAATACATGCCTGTTCCTAGATGATCCATAAAGTAATTATACATTGACCCTTTCATTCATGCAAACGTAGCTGTGTTACACAACACGATCCTCTGCATCTTTTGCTCTGCCAGGGTCCACCTACTTGACAATGAACAAAGACCACTTCTCATATAGCATCACACTTCACAAACATAAAGGTGCCTGTATCTCCAAACTTTACAATGAAACGTGGGCTTTTTATCACAGCAATGGGCTCGGCTTGGCCAACAGCACCTTGTGTGAAAGTTTCGCGTTCAATGTCGCAACAAGCCCAAAAAATATTTTTTTGGGTCGTCGTCGAAAGAGGTTGAGCCCCGGATCCAGTTTGGCTGGTAGCGACATTGCGAAATCTGGGATCGCCCACGATGAACTTCATACTTTGACACAAGATTCCTTTGACCCCGACAAGCACGTTGATCTATTAAAGAGCCCACGTTTGATTGTAAAGTTTGGAGATACAGCTGGCTTTATGTTTTCATTATGCTGCAAGCGTGATGCTATATGAGAAGAGGTCTTTGTTCATTGTCAAGTAGCTAGACCGTGATAGAGGCAAAGATGTAGAGGGGCATGTTTTGTGTAACTGAGCTAAAAAGTCAAAGGATTCAGGGACAATGCATGAGAGCTACGCAAACTCTTTCCGATTCACAAATTGGGAGTTGATAGCCACTTGTCTCCATTCCCAAATGTTGCCCAATTCACATCATGGGAACGATACTCCTGCTCCAGATGTTGATTTCCATGATCCAAGTAGCTTGATCGTATCTCAGTCGAATCATGGAAACAAATACCTGAAGCTGGCGCATAGTTCCATTGTGATGGAATAACCTAAAGTTGGGAATAAAAAGAAGTGACTATTAGGTGCCAATTTTATGACTACTCATGGGATAGCGTGTAAGTATCATGCATTGACCCTTCCAATCCTGCTCTCTTGGCTTTTCTACACAAACAGGTCTTCTGCATCTTTGGCTTTATCAGGGCTAGCTACTTGACAATGAACAAAGACTAGACCTTTGATATAGCATTACACTGACAGTAAGTAAAAACATAAAGACGCCCGTAAGACAAAAGTTTAGTATCAAGTGTAGGGTCCTTTATGAGAAGAAAGCTGCTGGGCGTGCCTGAAGGAACCTATCGTGTGGAAGGCTCAGGATCGCAACCATATTAACAGCATGTGTCGTATGTAGCCTACTGTAATTTCAGCCTTGGATAAGCCTTATAGATCTTTCATACTCACCTTGTACGCTCGGGAGCATCGTCTTTGATGTTCCAATCCATGTATAATAATAAAGGCATGATGCTTGTCGAATGAAATTTGCAGCATTTGACGATGATGATGTAGCCATTGCTATCTAACAGCAGTGTTTGCTTTTTACATAGGTTGAGTATGATAACATTTATTATTCGATACCCAATGCTTTAATGGCAACACTATTAGACATCTATACGAAAGTAGATAATGCATTAAAGCTTTGAAGCATCGGGATTCCAAAAGCATTCGATCGGATTTCACCGCCTTGGCTTGCTGCATTTGCGTCGCAGCAGCCCATCGGCGTCATTACTATCTCCTCCTCCTCCTCATCCTCCTATGAAGGAAATTCTCAGCCTCATCTATCTCCCATGCCGATTACCAACGTAAAGGTCTTGTGATGTAATGGGAACATGCAGTACTAACGCGCCTGTAATCCGAGTTCGATCCTCGGCGAGACCTTTTCCCCCATTCAATCACATCCTTTTTCATTCATCCACCTGATATTTGCATCAATAGAATTGCTTCAAATGTGGTTGTCTCTATTTAATACGAAACATCGATATGAACAATGAGCCATATCCCATGGTAAAATGGCAAAAACAACCTTTTTGAACGAAATCCTCGTAAAGAAAGTCGTTGTATTATGTATTCATTGCTGTGCGGACAATGTCAAGAGTAAGTTTCGACCAGCCGTATCAAGAGTAGAACCGGTATGCAACGATCAACCGTATTCAATATGTACACAACTCCTCAATTCCTCTTGCTTTTCTTGGAATGGGAGATGTCCATTGCTCGCTATACTATCACTCAACATCATCATCACCCTCATGCATTACAGCCATTGATATCGCTGCCCGTTTCTTTGTACATAAAATAGTTCCTTTATATTGTCATGATGAAAGATGTTTCATAAACCAGAGTATTGTGAGTCAATTTCATACTGTATTATACAAATCAAGGGATACAATGAGTCAAGGGGTTGCATAATCAACATTGCCAAGCCAAGAGATGGCCATGTGATGCGCATGTGTTGTGCCTTAAAGACCGATTGGCCATCCAACAAAGGAAACTGAAACAAAATGCTTCTTTTACTCGGTATATTCATTGTCGTTATCCTAGGCAAGTTTATCTATCACTGCATTCCACGACCCAGTAATCGACGCCATGTTCCCTTGTACTAACGACATCTCCAATAGTATGCTGGCTACTCAGAAAGAGGATACTGGATCTCGCCAATCGTGGAGCTGACCAAATGAATCGTCTGCTTGGCTACCATTTGCTACCAACAACACTCGGATCTTTTGAAGATGACATTGAGGATGGCTTAACGAGCTCGCAATTCGACCTTGAAGCGAATATCGGCCAAGACGACCAACGTGCAGGACTCAAGGATAAGGAGGAAATCCTCAAGATTATGAAGAAACAAAAGGTTTCCTTCGATGAAGCGCGTTTGATTCGACAACAACGGTTATTGAAGAAGAATGTAAGTGGTGTATACGGCTATAAAGATGGCACATGAAAAGCTAATTGTAGTATATAGAACATTGATCCTGCTACCGGGCTGCCACTGGATCCCAAATTTGTTACATTCGGTGGACCATCATCGTCGTCATAGCAACAACAATGTCGTCAATATACCGTATCATTTCACAAAGCATTTTTTTATTATCATGTTGGATGAGGCATTGGTATTCAGTGTGGGCTCGACTTTTCTCTTCTCAACATCACTTTCGGGGACTAAGTATTCGTGAGCGTGCTGCTTTGATTGCAATGGTGGCTGTTTGAGAACCTGTTTTTGTGTCGATGGATCCCATTTCGTATGCGGCGACATGTTTGCGAGAACTGGATATGGTGGGTGCCGTCAATCGGGCAAGCCTGCTTTTAGTTGAGGATGTCTTCTTCTTGGCAATTGGAAGAGGAACTTTATCTGGTTGAGATACGGGCTTCGGGTTGAGCAATGCCACACGAGGCATTTTGGCACGCTTTTGAGCAGCACTGGGGATATTGATATTGGGCTCATCGTTGGATAATGGTGGTTGTTGTTTGGACTTGGATTGTGTTTTGGATTGCTCTTTGTGCTCTGTGATGGATGGTGGATGAGTTGCGGTGTTCTTGGATACTTGGAGGTCTGCGTCTTGTGGTGGTGCTACTTTGTTTTCATCCAGGCTATCAGCCATGATAGTTTGATCGTCCTTTTTTTCATCACATGTAACTGCATTCTTGTGGCTCGCATTGTATTGAGTAACGATCTCATCAGCAGCCGATTCTAATATTGCTTCCGCTTGCCCTTCTTGCAACTTGTCTGTGCTCGAACAAGGTGACGCATTTACAACAATGTCCTTCTCCTCCTCTTCTTCCTCCTTCGAAACCTTGGGATCGGCAGCGTTACGCGTTGTGATGTGGTCTGTGCTTGGAGATACAGTATCGGCATTACCTTCCTGAATGCTCTCATTCACATCAGCAAACAATGGTTGCGATTGGGTTGTATCTTCGTGTTGTTGCTGCTGATCAATCCTGTCACTGGCATTGTTCTCATGCTGTGTAACACAGCTGTCGTGAAACAAAAGCTCGACATCTTTCTTTGCTTGTTCAAAAGATTGGCTACTACGCACAACACTATGATATAGCATATTGCTACCAAAACACAAATGGATGAATAAACTTGCACGACAACAAAAACAATCATTTTTCTTACGTTTCGTCATTTGTATTCACATCCGAATGGCGGTGACCCATGAGCCTTTGCCAATCTTGGATAACATCAGCGCTATTCTTTTGAAGCACCATTGCAAACATCGGTCCTCTGAATGATAATCGGATATTAGAATGTGTTCACAAGATCCCTTGATGGCATACTGTACATGCACTCAGGCTTATACGTAGCTGCATGTGAGCACCCCCTTGATTCCCCCCACTACCTTGTATACTCTACCTTGTCATTGACTCCGTTATTTCATTCGAATCTTCCTTGAACAAATTGGATGCCTCGTTTGTCGTCAGCTGAATTTCCCGCTGCTGTGTAATCAAGAAGCCTTCGCTTTCCACCTTGCGTGTGATAACGTCCTTTTGACTCAATGCATCTGGTTTGAGGATGACCACCATGCTGTTGCTATGTTCCTACAATTTGTTCAACATTCTACTAATGTGATTTTCTGAAGGCACATTATAGCATACCGCTTCTTCTGGACCCTTATTGTCACTATCACCATTCGCCAAAGATGATGCTATCACCTTGTTTTTGGTATCTGTCGACGATCTTTGGTTCTCCTCTTGTTTTACGACGATAGCTTGCTGGTCATCATTCCTTGTGTCGTTCAAGTCGGCTACTTCGGATGTTTTATTATCCCCTAATAATCCTATGTATTAGCCACGCCATTCTCTATCGACGTGTTAATAAAAGGCATACCCACGCCGTTTGCTTCGGCATTGGTCAAAGAATGAATAGTCTAGTATCATGTATTAAAGGCAACAGCCAATAGACCCGATTTTTCATAAGATTTACTTACAGAATCGTTTGAAGACGCTAACAAAGTCATAACTTTATGGGGGGAAAAGAAAGGGATAAATGGACTAGCAACCAACAAAGCGTATTTACGATTATGGCGTAGCACAACAGGATGTGCCACTAGCACGCTTTTCCAAATCAGTAAGCACTTGCATGGAACATGGAGGTATTATTATACAGAAAAGAGTAATACTACAAGGGCTTGTATGATACAAAAGAATGGAAGATATAGGTACATTAAATCTTTTTATCCTCAAAGACCACGCCATCTGCGTTCTCAGGTACAGATGTTATACCTTGAACAGTGACCTTGGTGGGAAGATCCGCCAGCTGTCGTCGGCCTCGTAAATCTTGCCAAATGGCTCGAAAGACAATGACAGCATCTTTGCGCGCTTCCCACAAGGGAAACAAGCCAACGGCAAATGTGCTGTAGAACACCCAAATAATGGATACGATCACCCAACCACGGAAAAATGGCAAGGAAAAGACATACTGTGAGCCAAACATTGGTAGCGGCCATAGCACAAAGAGGCAAAGTGCAAGGATAACACTGGTGTATTTAGCGAATCGTGCGGATTTGCGCATTTGAGCTTGTTCGGCTTCAACATCTTCCTCTTTTTGGATAGCAGCTGGTTCCGGTGTAGTCTCTTCTTCAATAATTTCAATATTACGGGTGGCGTCAAAGGTAAAATTATCAGGCTTCCACAAAGATAAAGGCACCGTAACGAGCAAAGGTGAAAACAAGGCGACCAAGTTGCCAGCCATCATTGGCATGTTTTGATTTGTGGTATCGACAGTAATTTCGCCATACAATCCATGGGTGGTCGTGAGCCAAGTAATGATTGCAGCGGTAAAACCGAAAATGGGTGCGATGGTTGCAGCCATGCGGTTCTGTTTACTCCATAGCAACGTAAGCGTGATTGGGATCACAGCAGATGAAATAACGACACCCATCTAGTAGCCCACATGTTAATAGGAAAATAAACGTATACCATTATCAACGTCACTTACTAGCTTATAAAGATAGCCCAAGTTGATGCCCGTTAAATTAAGCAATGTTGCCAATACTCCCATAAGGATACCAAAGGTGAGTACTGATAAGTGCGAGAAACGAATCACCAATTGATCTGAAGCCTAGCGTATTGATGCACCTTAAGGTAAGCAACAACAGTATCCATGACAACCAGCATGCATCAGCAAAACTTACGTCAGGCTTGATATACGCACGAAAAATGTCATAGGTGAAAATAGAGGATACGGCAATCAATTCGGCGGATGAAGCACTCGTAACAGCCAAGAAAACAAGTAGCAATGCAATCCATGCACCAGAGGAACCAAGTAATGCAACGCATGCATCTGGCAACACGAGTCCAGCTGTGACTTCAGCATCCGTCAACTCGATTCCCAATGCACGTCCAGTCAAACCCATTGTGGTTGCCAAGGTAAAAGGAATCGCATACCATGCCAACCCACCGATAAGATACGCCTTGACAGCATACATGGGATGTGCAGCAATCGCTCTTTGCCAATACGCGTTATCCACAAAGACGGTGCCAAAGTTACCCACAATGTTGATGATCCCAAAGATAAGCGCTTGTACGGATGACATGGTCAACAACGAGCCTTCAGCATTATCCTCGATAGGGTTGTTGATGCTGGCAATGGTCAATAGGTCGTACATGCGTTCAATCGATCCGATTTGCGAAGATGATACATAGACCGTAAATACGACATAAAGAATAACAATGAGGATAGCAACCGTGTGCCTATTATAAAGTGTGTAAGTTACATGCTATGCATACATAGAATAGGATACGAACGTGTAATCGGATAGAAAAGTGGCCTTGATTCCACCAAACAAGGTGTAAATGATAACACCCACAGGCAGCAAAAAGCATGCTGCAATCACATGCATCCCTGTAAGGTAGGATACCACTGCACTTCCTCCTAGTAGCAGCATTGCTGTGACAATCTATGCATGTATCATTAGCAAAAATGCGTCAACCATTCATTCGTATGCACATACAATGTTGGTCACCAAAGAAAACACGAGGTATACGATATGCGTTGATCTTCCATATCGTGCTCGGATGACCTGTAAAAGCAAAGTCAACCTTTAGGTCCACCTTTTTCGCATCCATACGAATCAAAACCTACCTCCAAGCATGTATGTGCATTGGGAGCTCTACGTTTGAGCTCAATGGCGAGCACCGAGAACAAGAGAACCTGCACAACGGCACCAGAGGCATACCACAAAGGACCAGATACACCATATCGATATGCAACCTCTGTGCTAACCAATAATGTTGCCGCCCAAGTCCATGAAGATACGATCGCACTAGCAATTAAGCCTGTTTTGACAGAGCGCTTTGCCGTCATGAACATTTCAGATGTTTGTACCTCGTGAAGGTACCGCTTAAGAAGCCAAGTGATGCCCAGCATAAGCAAAGTAAACAATGCTCCAAACCTACGTATGTATGGATGATAATGTGGTTGGCATAATGAAGCAGTACACATCCTTGTATTACATACCCGACAACGACACCATAGCCAACGCCTGAACACGATTGTGAGTGACATGGGTATAAACAATGATGCTTAAAATTCTACCTTGTGATAATACAGCCATAGGATGTACGTATGAATTAGAATGTAAAGACAAAGAAGATTCGTAAATAGATCACAAAAGCTTACCCTTTAAATATTCTTGCTGCTGCTGCTGCTGCCTGATGCTGATAACAAAAAAGCACTTTATCATTTTGGGCAACCGCATCTTGTGCATCCATTGTTATCATCAAGGAGTGTGCAATTGCACATGATGATGATGTTCGGTAGGCCGGCGGTAATTACACGTTCTGATGGATCCATATCTCGTAAAGGACGTTGACACGCACTTTTTCAGATCATTGTGTCACCATACCTTTTTCGTGATCGCTGCCCTTTATCTTATCACACACTCAGAAGATAGATGATATTCAAATGCAACCCGTAGCCGCAGAGATAAGCATGCTAAGGCTGCCGTTTTATTTCTTTGGGTACCACACTCTTCCACGACAGCTTCCATAGCCAAGTGCATCTGTAATCTCGTAATCGTCACGTCCTCGCACGTAAAAGTACAGCATTACTTCATGAAGTTGCCCGTTGCGGTCACAATTGAGCATGATTTTGGCACCATAAAACTTTTCCAAGGCATCCCTGATTGTGTAAACGCTGTAATATTGACCAGGGAACACACCAGCCACACTATGTACATGATGCAGCATGATTAGCTAAATTGTACGCTGATCTTGATGCTTCGAACCTACTTTAGGACACCATAGATATCGTATTGCTGTTGCAAATCAAGCACTTGCTGCATAAGAAATGTCACGTGTAAATGCCTGTGATTCTCGGATTGTTCAAAGTGAATAAAGATACATACCTCAAAGTACTCTTCCAGATCTTGGTATTTGCGATAAGCATCCCCATAGCATGCCGGCCTCAATGTACTAACGCAGGTACCATGCTTGGTCCATTCGTGTGACCAAAACCTGATAAAAGATAAGTTTCCTTGAAGATTCGGCATCATTTATCATATCTTACCAATTGTCATCGCCCTTGTAACTCGGCCAATAGGTGCGTAATTTTTGGTGGAGCCCTGGATTGGTGTTTCGAATAATATTCCCGACATTGTTGCTGGAACGTGTTCTGTCACAACCTCGGGAGGGTGGTCGACCACCGGAGCTATCGGCATTATTAGCATCATGGCTCATGCCGTCTTGATAAAAAGTGACTTTTTTCTCCCACCGTACCATGTATCGGGCCACAAGCCTACATATCAATGCGTGAGAACATACATGTATACGGGCTTTTGACATATACGTACCATGAATAGTGAACTCGTCGGCTGGACCATAACCAGGCACCCATTGTAAGGCAAGGACCACCAATCCATATTTTGGAGAACAACATGAATCAACGCTGCCTTGCCAGTGGCAAGATAAGACATCACCTTTGTAACAAAGAATTAGGGCCAAAGCATTATCATCATTCCACCCATAACATATACTTACGATCACAGCTTGGTGCATCACGTAAAAGCACTTGTTGTAATAACTCTTCCCCTGTTACCACATTCCATAGCAGTAAAAGCAAAGCGAATAAAAGATGTTTCATAAGAGAAGAGGAAGAGAGAAACGCCCACAGCAGTGTTTCAGTCAGGAGTTTCATCGACGTGACCCATCGGGGTTCTGACTTTGTTGTATCGGTTGGTGTAATAAACAAGCCTGCTGTGTCGTCATGGCAATAATATGCCGCCAATCTTGTCCCACAATGCTGTCATGAGACTCCAATACTACATCCACATTGGATACGTTATCATTCAGGTGGTCCAACATCTTGTTTAATTATGTGTATTCAATAATCATCTATCAACGACGCCACTCCACGCCGTTCTTTTGGTATTCGACCAACTCATCACCAATGGCCTGTACAACGCGATCGAGATCTTTCCTTGCTTGTTCTTCCGAAGCACCACGCAACTCAGAGTAATACTTGATCTTTGGCTCAGTTCCACTAAAGACATAAACCCTTCAGTTGTAATGTCTCGATTGAATCCATTCATCCCAATATTACCTGGTTCGGATCGTGAAAACGGTGTTGTTTTCCAATTTAAAGGTGATCATTTCGGATGAAGAAGATACCGGTAATGTTGGCTTGTTGTCAGGGGTCGTCGAATCGTATCCCACAGTCAAATCCCGGATTCCAACAACCTTGTGTCCAGCCACTGTAGATGGGTATGTAAACTATACGCACATACATCAACAACCATGCTTTTCTTCAAGTATGTCATTTCCTTTTCTTACCTCGGCGCTGTTGTTTTCCTACGTAAACGATCACAACCATTGTTAATACACTATTGTGAAAATAACATCCATTGCCACTTACAAAATGTCTTATCCGCTTAAAGATTTGTCCAATCAATGCCTTGTCACCACAAATAAAGTACGAGTTGTCGGATACAAAGTAACCATACTTGGCATAAAGCGATTCAAGGTACTGGTAGGGTGTCATTCCTCGCTTCTTGAGCTGAACGGCCCATTCAGAGAATACGGCCAGGGCACTAACACCATCCTTATCTTTGACGATATCGCCCACAGTGAATCCAATAGCTTCCTCAAAGGCAAAAACAACGGTGTATCCTTCACGTTCCAATTCCATTGCCTTGTTGCCAATCCACTTGAAACCAGTCAATGCTTCCTCAAATCGGAAACCCTCTACTTCAGCCATGCGAGCAAGGAACTTTGAGGACACCGTGCTAGCCACCATGGCAATTTTGTCTATTGAATCACGTTTAACATCATGATAGGTATCATGGGTGGGTGGGT